TTCCTCGGAGAGTGTGAGGCGTATGGAAGGATGAGATTCGAAATCTTTGGAGTAGATAAACTACAACAGGAAGATTTGGTCGAATTAGAGTGGACGGACATCCTGACCTTCATCAGAAGGACGGGAAGGTTCGAAAAGGACAACTAAAAGAGGGATGTGTAGATATGTGCAGGGGTTGGCAAAAAGGGCCCATGGGGGCCTACTTGCCTGGCTACAGCCTCCCCACAATACCACTACTAACAATGTTCGGTACCACCATTCCCGATATCAGTATATATTACCTAACACTCTTGGAAAAATCATGTCAGATCTATCACGAAAGCTGCTTCACAAAAACTTTGAGCGAAAGCTACTTTACATCTCGAAAAATTCTTATGATCCACAAAGCATAGATCCGATCTATAAGCTATAAGTTTTTCAACGTTATCGTATTTTTTTGTCGATTCGCCTCCGTGAATCACTCAGTAAAAAATCACACGTTTGTTTGTTTGTATTGAATAGGCTCCGAAAATACTGGATAGATTTGGCTGAAAATTGGTGGGAAGGTAGCTCAGAACCAGGAGAAGGTTATGGGATACTTTTTATCCCGGTACCATTAGGAAATACAAGGTGGCGGATCTAATATATCGGACGAGTTTTGTAATTATGGTCCGATTCTATTCAAAATTGGTATCTGGGGGTTTTCGGAGTTTGGGGCTATGATTTCTTCGTCAAAATTAAGAAATTCAAGATGGCGGATCCAAAATGGCGGATTTTGTAATTATGATCCGATTCTATTCAAATTTGGTATCTGATGGTTCTCGAGGTCGGAGATTATGATTCGTTCGTTAAAATTAGGAAATTCAAGATGGCGGACCCAATATGGCGGACGAGTATTGTAATTATGATATGACTCTCTTCAAAATTGTTATCTGGGTGTTTTCGGGGTCGGAGATTATGATTCTTTTATCAAAATTTTAAAATCAAGACGGTGGAACCCATATACCGGACGAGTGGGCATTTTCGGGATCAAAAATTATGATTCCTTTGTCAAAATTAGCGAATTCAAGATGGTTGATCCAATATTGCGGACGAGCTTTGTAATTATGTTTCGATTCTATTCAAAATCTTCATCTGGGGTTTTAGGAGTCGGATATTATGATTCTTTCGTCAAAATTGGGAAATTCAAGTGAATAACTGAAAAGAAGTTGAAATGAATGGTAGTTTGAAAAACTAAAGAAACACGCTTTTATAGATAGCGGAACTAAAAAGAAGTCCAAAATAAAATAATAATAGTGTCTTGATGAATATTGAACTGAAAAAATATATTATAGAAAAATGATGTATATAGCAAAACAACGTTTGCGAGGTTTGCTAGTTATTAATATAAAAAAATTCTGGCATAGTAAATATTTTGGTTCTTCCTCCAGTATAGTTGGTAAGGTATGTCATATTGCAACTGATTTCAGTAAATTGTTGGGGCATATCGTTCAACTCTTGGTTCAACTATATTAAGTTCCTGTGGTAATCATCGGTAGGTTCACTTTCCCGTAAGGCAGACGCGTCTTCAGGACCAATTTCGCGACTTTGAAGAATTTGATCGCAATTTAACGAGGAAACCATGCAGATTAATATCGGGTTTCGGAATTACGAGCCGCCGTAATATAAATTAAGAACGTGAAGCTCGAATGCATTTCTGATATATGAGATATCGCATCGGCTATAAATAAGATTACCGAATTTTCCGGCTGCCACGGAGTGCCTTGTGATTCTGGGTCCCCTTTCTGCGGTATAAAAGGCGGACGTAATTTGGAAAAAATGTTTTATGACCGTTCCTCATTTTTTTTCGTTTTAGGCCTCAATTTTTCGTGTGGGTTAATATTTATCGAGGGGCAAATCACCAGGAAAAAAGTGTACACTATAGATTTTCAATGATCAAAGACTTCCAAAGATTCCCAAAGACTTTCAAAGACATCCAAAGACTTCCAAAGACTTTGAGAAATTTCGAGCGCTACTCAGAACTCCCATCAGAACTATTCTGTTCCTGAGTACTGATTTTTTATCGAAAATGTTAGTTTTTTGGGATGTGCATCTTATGACAGCTGATGAAAGAAAAAGTATCGATTTGTCACTGAAACACCATGAGAATATTTTGAAGAACTCGTATCGAGCGCTACTCAGAACTTCCATCAGAACTATTCTGTTCCTGAGTACTGATTTTTTATTGAAAATATTAGTTTTTTGAGATGTGCACCTTATGACAGCTGATAAAAAAAAAAAAAATCGATTTGTCACTAAAACACCATTTGAATATTTTGAAGAACTCGTCGAGCGCTACTCAGAACTCCCATCAGAAGTGTCCTGTTCTTTGGAATACATTTTTCACCTTATGACAGCTGATTTTTCTCTTCGTTTTTTTCAGATTTCACATTTCCTAATGATCCTCCTCCTTTTTCCTTGATAGCTTTTTCTTCAATACGAAACAGAACGGAATAGTATTTCACCAAGAAATGCTGGCTATAGAAACACATTTTCGTATTTAATTTCCTTAAATTATTCGATAATTTCCTTAGTTCACCAGAACTATTGATGGAATAGGTGTAGAACTCCAGAACTCTTTATAATACAACAAAAAATATATCAGAACTCATTTTCTCGAAAAAAACGGCGCTGCGTGAAGTTAGCGCTCAAAATTTATTTTTTCCAATGACACCTACGATTTGCTGGAACTATTCAAAATTTCAGTCAGGAACTCTAGAACTCTATCAAATCTACTCAGAACTAAAAAAAAATTGAGTTTTTCGAAAAAGACGGCGCCAACTTCACATGATTCGTTTCAGAGCAAGATTTTTTTATGTTTGTGATTTCTGGAACAAAAAATATCCCCAAAAACACTAATCTCATACCCGACTAATATTACATGCACTGTCATGTTTCTTCACGAAGTAACATACTCAGAAGTGATCTGAAACAGGGGTATATTTGTTGCGGACTTGAACCCTGAGTGAAAAATCATCAGGTGATCGATCAAGCTCATCCGAATTCATCACCCTGTTTGCCCAACGTATCAGTGCCGGCTCACGCACGTGAATACCGAATTTAAGCCAAACAACCTGAAACCGTTCCATTGTTATCAGAACGCCTCGAGAATCAAAACTTTCCCTTCCCCCCACTCTTCGCCCCTAAAGAAAACAAACGCTTTCCAAGGCACGCTGTGTGGTCTTTGTAGGGCGGACACTGATGTATATGCAACACACGGCGCGCACACAGGTCTCTAATGGCGGTATTGTTTTGGAAATTGAATAGGAAGATTCGATGGATACGTTGGAAATGTAGTTGTAGTCCTTGACGTCGGTGTGTATTAACATGATAATGTAATCAGTAACAAAAGGGTGATAAAATTTTGTGATGAACGAGTGTTAATATTATTCGGAGGGTGTATAGGAAGGCCCATATGGCAGGCATGAAGGTAAAAATGATGGACAAACTGGTATTCTTTACCTAACAGGAACATATATTTCATACTAATTTCATAACATCAGGAGTTGAGGAGAACGTGATTTCTGTTTTAACTCTGTCATCATATAGACAGTTGATCCTTGATCTCTGCCGCCATATTATTATTATCGAAAAGTATCTTCGCAAATCGAGCGTCTGGGATAGATTATGCGACCTATGACAACATCGAACTAAATAAAACATTTGGCATTATTCCAAAACCACTTATATTCACGGAAATCCTGCGATATTGAAGTCTCCCACTTGTAATAACAAAACGTCTTTCCGCGTTCAAAGCAAAGAGGAAAAAACGAGAGAATAAAATCCCCGTATAATTAAAACAACGTCTGTCTGAAATTAAATTTGAAATATCACTAATTATTCGTTTCTGGCCGGGAATAGATTCGGAGTTGACAAGCGGAACCTGTGCCAAGATGATATACATGCAGACATACATATACAATATACATATACACACACATAAATACATAAACGTGCGAGATTCTCGCGGGAAACCATTCGGAAGACATTATACTGATGGTTGAAAATTCCAGTCTGTTTCACCCACAATGAGAATAATATTTGATCATAAATGAGCAATTTTTTTTATCGCTTGGAGCGCACGAAAGGAATTCGAAGCCAGTTTACACCTCAACAATTAACTTCTCATGATCTCCTGAAGGGCACAGATCTCAGAATTTTATCATCATTGGGTTCAGCACCCAAACAAACGCTGATGCTCTTAGGTTCTATTAGGAAAAGACTATTTTCTGCTGGTGAAGGCAGACTTTTAGGTTTCTTTACAACAACTTGTGGTAGTCAGCGATATTTCACTTTTCTGTAAATAAATATACATTCAGTGACGGTGATTTTCAGAAATCTCAGCTACCTTTCCATCACCATTAGCAATGAATTATAAAAACTTGACGAGCTCAGTCAGTATATTTATTTCAAAGAACAAAGAAAAATGAACAAGATTCGTTACAAATTCATCCATAAACCTACCTAAAAATTGTTGGATCTACTTCCAATCAAACAGGTGGTTGAAGAAAATTTTCATTGGCTTCAAGGAAAGCGCTATCATCGATAATATAACCCTTGTGAATTTCAAATTTTAATTTCTTCAAATAAAAAAACTACAGGCTCTTACATGTCTCTTGTGTCACCCGGTATAACAAATCTCTGGTTCAATATTCCCAGGGTAGAACATATTATAAACTACAAAAGTAATGAAAACAGAACCATATCTCTCCAAACAGACCTAATAGAAATTGATGCCTGATTCAGTTCATAGACCAAACACTATCGGAATGTAATCATCTCCATTTCCATATTATACTTCTCTAGGTTGAGCCTACTGGATGGCGCCAATCTCTCCCAATCCCCCCACTTTCCAAGTCGAAACTCAAATCCCAACTCATTTCTCTGCCTCCAAGACCGGCACTAATTCGCCTTCAGTCATCCATCTGCACTCGATCCCACAAATAAATCAATCGGCTAATGGCATAATTTATCTCCACCAGTAAATACGAGCGAGCTGCGAAAAAACAAACGCGAAATGGCCTCCATTTGTTTCCGGCCACCGCCGCTTCCACCTAGCAAGAAATCCAACCAAAACAATCGACAGCGCGCCAAGCAGGACCACGGCCTGCTATCGTCGACCTATCTGAGTTTTCGCGACGACGACGAAATCCTGAGCGTCGAGGCAATCGAACTGACCGGTCTCAGTAAGTGCAAAGGCGAGAAAAAGTGCCAGAAGCTGAGCCACTCGTATTCGCTGAGCAGAAGGAAAAGTGCGGGTAGTACCATGGTGAGAAGCCATTCGGACAGCAACATAAACATCGATAAGAAAGGAGTTTCTCCGGGTGATGTTGCCCTCAACAGATATATGAAGGTGCTCAGCGGCAGCTGGAAGAATTTGCTGAATTGTAAGTGGATGCTTTGTTGAGAAGTCGGTGCTTATTTGCTTACCAACTAACTGCAGTAGTAGTGCCTCGAGACCATACTAATTTTACGGGAGTAAGGTGGCTGGTCGCGTTCTTTTATTTTCATTCAAACCAGGACCATCAGGTGGTGTACTGGTGGTTACGTTTTGTAACATTTGTTTAAGGAAATGAGGCCATTACGCAAAACTGATGAAAACTTAGTAGTCTAAAGGGTCTAAGCAACATTCATGATGGCTGACAATTGGAATCCTATGAGTGAGATGGTTTGGTCACATTCATTTATTTCATTGAAATCAAGACCACAGGTGATGTAGGTGGTTACGTTTCATAACAAATTCTTCAAGTTATGAGACCATAACACGCATGATTGATAAAAACCTAGCAGTCTAGAGGGTATGAGCAACGTATATGGATGATTAATATGCCAATTGAAATCATAGGTGAGGTGATTGGGTCGGACTGTTCCATTCAAACCAAATTATGTGATGTAATGGTGGTTACGTTTTATAATAAATGCTTCAAGTAATGAGGACATTACGCTTGCGGATTGATTGATGGAAATGTAGCAGTCTAGACTGTCTAGAGGGTCTAAGCAATGTTTGAGGCTGATTAATATAATAATTGCAATCAAAATATGAGTGAGGTGGTTCGGTGATTGGTCACATTCATTTATTCCATTCAAACCGAACCCAGATGGTGTGATGATGGTGGTTACAATTCTTTAAGATATGAATGATATGAATCTAGCAGCTTATATGACCAGGAGAACGTTTCTGATTGATCATCAAATAAACCTATACCTTGAGGTTCTGATAGATGAAACGATAGAGTAAAGGTTCGTTCCTAGAGTTTTTGAAGTTCCATAATCCCATATTATACGCGAATTAAATGTCTCTCACCGATTATTGAATATTGTTCATTTCAACACGGATATTCATTATGCAAGATTTTGGCTAATGAAAACGGTGGCGGTTTTATTGGACCCCTGAACACACTGCCTCATTGATTTTTATATGAGTTATTCAATTTTTCGAAAATTTCTACGGCTAATTATCAACAATAAATAGTTGTAACAAAAAACTGCTCAAATTATTGGCAGGCCTCTTTTTTATATTCCTTGCTTGTCTACCAATGCTGCAATTTTTTTCTTTTCACCCCCCCTCCCCTTCAGTAAATGTCTGAATGAAAACACGTACTTTTCATTATGAATCACATTTTAGGCCATTAGAAACACGCATTTTTTTTTTAGGATCATTCTGAAATTCTGGTTACTCACGAAGTTGCTCTTGGTCTATCGATCTAAAATATTTTCAGCTCTGCGGCGTTGCCGCTTCTATCGAAAAGTAGCAACAACTTTGTTATTTTAAATGGAACACCCTGTATTTTATTGCATTCTCAGATTCTCTTTGAAGAGCTGATTTCATCGATGTATCACACTTGCGGTCTAGCGGAAATGATTACAGAGATATAGGGTGTGAAAAATCGACATTTTTCAACTTTAGGAATTTTTTTTGTCGAAACTATTCATTATTGGTCAAAACGGCTCACATGTCCCTATGTCAACTTTTGATCAACTATCTACTGACATTTAATTGAAACAAATACAGGGTGGTGCAGAATTCAGAATCTTGATCACCCGGTATATGTCCCAATTACCCTGTAGATATTTGTTCGAGTGAATGAAATTTTGATTTCAATGGGTATTCAACTCGGTATTCAATCACTATGCGCCAAAGAAACAGGTAGTTCATGGCCTGGAGATATTGGAATATGTTGAAATGTTATTTTCTCAAATGAATATTTGTTATAATTTTATTGTTTATTGGTCTTGAAAAAAAACGTGTATACAGTGATCATGTAATGAATATTGATACATTATCGTTGCATGAAATACTTATTGTTGATCAACATTCTATGTCTTCTCTTTCGATCCTGTAATATGATATCATGGATATATTCAAATTTGTTATAGGAGATTGGAAAACATATTTGTGGAAGAATATGTTACACAAGGTCATATATTATATTCCGAGATATATTCCTAACCCATACAGTTTTTCAATAAACTTCAAAATCGATTAATTCAATCCAATTATCAAAAAACGATTTCTAAAAACATCCCGGAATCAGATGAAAAGCAGGCTGCGCAATTTCTATCCACTTGTTGGGGATTGTTGGTGGATGTTATCGAACAAATCATTACCAATGATTATTATGGGAAAAGGTTCATGATGACGCCCATCTATAAAGAAAATTACACTGTTGGAGAGGAGTCATCACATACACGATTACATAATTTCCCGATAAGAAAACATCATTGAACCCGACACCCTTTATTAAACTTGCACAATTATTATGAGTGTGAGTCAGCCATTTGCGAAGGTGTTGTTGCAATTACTGATGTAACCGATGGCAACGATACCTTGGCTGAATGAACTTTCATTATAACACCATCGCGAAATATTTAATGTTATTTTGCATCTTTTACGCGCAGTATTTCCTGTGTGTAAAGTTCACAGATCGTATATTATTAAATTATTAATGAACAACAGAAAGGTGTCACTGGCATTTATTAGATATAATTTCTCAATATCCTGATGGAAATCGATAAAATTCTAAATGGATATACAAGGTGATTCTAAAATAGGTGGTCAAACTTTGGGAGTATATAGAGTGAGTGAAATAATTACGAAAACCTTGGTAACATTTTTTCCTGAAGTGCCCCCCAAGAAAGATACAGCCCCTCAAAGGGGGGCCTCGGAGAATGATTTTGTACTATTATCGCCAACACCTTGTAAGATGAGAATCTAAAATTTTGTATATCCACTAACTATTCAGTGCCGGTTCGAATGGAGTTAATGTCACCTCAAAATTAAATACAGGGGTGTGTCAAAACAGGGAGGTGGGGGGTAAAAATAACCCCAACTTTTTTGTTCATCGCAATTTCAGTTTTTTTACATGAAATTATGAAATCTCAGGGCTATTAACATAGAAAAGGATCTCTTGTTGGATCTCGATAAACTGAACCATAAGCGAATAAAATTTATTTTTCCAAGATTTCATTTAAATTGCAATTTTGGTATGCACTCAAGTTAAATTATCTAGTTCAAATCTTGCAACTGAATTTTCACCTACTTCTAATCGTCTGATCAACTTGGAATCTGGCAGATGACAGTTGACAACGCGTTATGGACTTTTTGATAAAAAAAAATATGGCGGCTCCAATGTGGCTGACCAGATTTGTGATTATGGTTCGATTCGATTCAAAATTGGTTTGTAAGGGTTTTTGGGGTTGGAAATTTTCAATTCATTGTCGGAATTGATGAATTAACAATAGACGACGAGTTTCGTGATTATGGTCTGATCCTATTGAAAATACTGAAATAAAAAATATTGTTGAAAACAAGATTTTTTAAAATTTTATTCGCTAATAGTTAATTTTATCGAGATGCAACAAGAGCACCTTTTTCATGTAAATAGCCCTGAGATTTCATAATTTCATGTCAAAAAACTGAAATTGCGATGAACAAAAAAGTTGGGGTTATTTTTACCTTCTACCTCCCTATTTTGAGACACCCCTGTATTTTATTTAGAGGTGATTTTAACCCCATTCGAACCGGCACTGAATAGTAAGCGGATAGACAAAATTTCAGATTTTCATTATACAAGGTGTTGGAGATAATAATACAAAATCATTCTCCGAGGCCCCCATTTAAGACGCTGTATCTTTCTTGGGGGGCACTTCAGAAAAAAATGTTACAGAGGTTTTCGTAATTATTTCACCCACTCTATATGCTCCCAAAATTTGACCACCTATTTTAGAATCACCTTGTATATAATTACAGTTGGAATGTACTCATATTAATGACAATGGAAGTGTGCGGAGAACTGAAGATAGAACGCAATGTTAGTAGGTGGCGATATTTGCACAATATACAACTGTCAGTATGGCGAATGTATTATTGTTGTTTTGATACTGGTTCAGATATTATAATATTATGATAAACGATAAAAAAATAAGTTTTTCTACTAATGTAGAAGTACTATGATGATTGATTGTTTTGTGATCCCCCTGTAATGGTTTTCATGGTAGCGAAATTTAGTCTGGTTGACATCAAAATAATCATCAAAGAAAATAAACTGCTTTTAAATCTATCAAAAAATGAGCTGATGCTAACAAAATACTTGGATTTATATTATGGACAAGTACGATATAGTGCTTCCCTATTGTACTATTTTCTGTTATAGACAATTAGTGGTATCAATCGCTTGTTTCAATTGTACTACTTGGCACACCCTGCTTTACAGGGTGTGCTATAAAATTGTACTGAATTTGGAAAATTGAACAGGAGACGAGACACCAAACAAGAACCAGCAATAAAATTCACACATTGGTGATTCTTGAATAAGAGAGTTAGTTATACGAAACATTAGAACAAGTAAACAGAGAACACGAAAAAAATAACAAACATGATAAAAACACTATATACATGATGACTGAAACATACTTCTGAACCGAGTTTTAAACCAACTGTTGATTGCGGTTAGTTTAAACTGAATGGCGGAATGTTATCTATCACAAAAGTATAGGTACTTTGAGAGTAAAAATGGCTACCCTTGCTGTAAAGTCAGATTCCCATATATTCATGTCCATACTATACTGTCCAAGTATCCAACAACAGTTTACCCGTTCAGTAATTCCATCAAATATTATAAATCTAACGGATTAGGGACCTTCATAGTTCCCAGCTGTAATCGAAATTTGGGGAAGTCGTTAAACACTGAAAGGGTCGCCAGATCCTCGAAATTAAGGAGTAGCCTGGTACAGCCGAAATCCCGTACTAATACCGAAATACCCAGATAATAATCGGATCTTATAAATGACCGAGTATGGAGCATAAGTTTTGAACAGTTTCTCCACACATATGGTTATTCAGGGCCATTAGTGATCCATCAGATATAGCAAGTAATGAATTCAATAA